CAAGAGATGCTTACTCTTCTTAGAAGGGCACCTAATCCCTCTCTGGTGTTTTATTGGGGTCCATGTTTCTTACTAAATTCTCCTTTTTGTATCGAGTATATAGTATTTACGAGATTGATCACTTTCCTTTTTTTTCACTTTTTTCTTTAATTTCAGATCCTTGGGTAAATCTTTGTTTCGAAAAGTTCGAGTTAGATCCCTTATTTGATAAGATGGATTCACACTAAGCATTGGAGACAAAATTATTGACTGAAAAAAAAACCGGAACCAATATTAAATGATCACTCTATTCATTTCAGAATGTAAAGAATGAAAGAGTTTTCACAAGGGGACAATTAATAACCGTTACGTTATAATCAGTCAATCAGACACTTCTAAAAGACAAACCACATCGATTGTTTCTTGTGTAAATATTTCCTTTCTTTAAATCCTATAGCTCCAACCATCAGCTCGATCACTCGAAACCGCATGATGATTTCCTTTTAGAATTAGGCAAACGATCTCCAACCAGAGAACAAAACAACACCTCAACTCCCTCAAAGTTAAATTGCCAGATTCAATTTTCCGAACCACAAAAATCCGATTCAGAGTAAAGTATAATCCTTTGATCATATACATGCCGCATGAAATTCAATCATTGTCACTGTCAGTCGTAATCTGTGTTATCAGCAGTTTTCAATTTATCAATGTTAGCATAAAAGACATTACTTTTTATTTGTTGTGTAACATGCATGTTATTTTGAATTACATTTCAATGCAACTTAATATAATGATATATTTGATTTTATCTGTTATGAATTCGGTGCAACCAAAAATATTTCTTTGCAATTAATAAACGATAGGATACGAGCATTCATTTGTCAAGTTATCGGGGTTTTTAACTACAAGAAAAAACTGTTAATACTTTTAGGATGATGTTTATTTATCAAGTCGTATATTTATACAATTTAAAATAAATCATGTTTCCATTATAGTCATATATGCAAATTGATAAATGAGTTTTCCATGTTTGAGACATATATTCAAGTAGTATTGCTCTTGATAAACATTATGACATTTTGCATTATATCAGTGTTAATAAATGTTACATCGTTTGATTATTTGCATCTCGTATCTCAGTGATATTCATATGCAGTTTGAGGTTGTCTAGTACAATGAATATATTGCATTTATATTTTAATAACGTCAATGAGTTCCTCAGTAACAATATAAATTTCATAAGGTATTGACAGATTTATCGGTGCTCTTTAAGGTAATTAGCTTTAATGCACGGTATTTGTATAACCTTAAAAATGTTTATGTGTCCTTTGAAAATACACTGAGGAAAGACGTTAAGTCTCAAAAAAAAAATGAGTGAAATGAGACCTTAGGGCATTATAAAGTCTACAGAAATAGCGCTTGTTCAGCATGCTCACTGACAAAACCGTTTTTATCCGTTCAAATGACAATCTGAGTTCTTTTGGTTGGAGATATTTGAAATCTTTGATATCTTAAAGACAATTTCTTACCGAAATTATGTTTATATTTACATGTATATTTTCAATATTTCGTTTGTTATCAATTAAGATGAGAACGTTTCTATCAATATGGCAATCATTTGGATAAAGCAAATCACGGAATCCTCAATTATATATATATATATATATATATATATATATATATATATATATATATATATATATATATATATATATATATATATATATATATATATATCCTGGTGAAGCCATTAAGTTTGTTTATACCATAAGGGCAAAATAACTTCAGTCTGTGCATCTAGAACTTTTTTTTTTGCTTTTTCTCTGGGCATCTGTCCGTCTTGGGTTAGGGTCAATAACCACTTATGTCATGTCCTCCCACTTGTGACCTTCCAGGTTGAAATGTTCTCCAACTTGTTCATTGACTTCCTTTCTTGGTCTTAAATATCGCTCAATGATTATTGATTTTTCTGCGGAGTTCTCCAGTTTCCCCAATATACTGTTTTTGACAAACCTTGCAGCTGATGAGATATAGCAATTGTCTTTTTCACAGGACAAATTCCCTTATATTCTAAAGCTGCGGTCTGTTACTTGGCTGTTAAAATTGTCTGTTCCAGAGCATTTCTTTTTGAGAAGACATCTTCATTCAGATCAAGTTTTAAAGCCCACAGTATGTTATCCAATTTGGTTATTTCTACCATATCTTCCAAGTTCCTCGGGTGCCTTTAAGCAGCCAATGGTCTCTGTCATTCTTTTGTTGGAATAAAGAACTACCAGGTTCCTTTGAAGAGGTTCATCTTGGTTTGTCCTTACCAGTGGAATCCTGCTGCTATTGTCTTTCTCTTTGTAGTGTAAATGGTTTTGTTTGTCGTTTCCTGTCATCTGATTCATGGCGGTTTATGCGGTGTGGGTTTTGTAGCCTCTCTTACATAAATGGGACTTTAGGAGATCGCTGTCTTCTTGATACAAAGCAGTTTTATAGGTCATTGTATATTATTACAGTATTTAAGGAAATTTTTGCTTTTTTTTGTTTTCCACCGTTTTCTTTTTATGCCCCCGGATCGAAAGACCTAGGAGTATGACCTACTTTTGAAAAACTTTAACCTTGGCCATAATTTTTGAATTGTTGGTGCTAGGGCTTTCATACTTCACATATGTAATCCTTGTGAGAAACTTTAACCTTCGCCATAAGCTGCCATACGGGGGCATCAGTGTTTCACAAACACATCTTGTTCTTTCTTTTTTTTCTTTTTGTCTTTTTGTGTCGTCTGCAGAGCAGAACGACACTTAGGGATCAACTAACACGGCGTCTGTTTGATTGTCTGTCTCTCCGTCTGTAACACCTTACATCTCGAGAACCGTCAGAGGTATGGATTTGATATTTTTGCATTTATATTGCTTGGCACAATGGTTTTTTGTAAATTACCATGATTATTGACCTCGTGACCCTTGACCTTTGACCCACTTTTCAAAATAATTCATATACTGACATACAGCATATTTTTGACATTTAATAGGTTAGTCTCTGCTATGTAGCATGTGAACGGTTTGTCATAAAACATTATGAAAAGTACCAGCGTTACTGTTCAAGTGACCTTGACCTTTGACCTACTTTGCATGAAGTTCTCCAGATTGTTTAATTTAACTTACCGGTATGTCTTTTGAATTTTAAGAGGCAGGGTTTTGATAAATAGCATTTATACATGTTTTGAGCTCATCGTATTGTACTTTGAAACTGCATGTGTGATATTCAGTTACCACACAAACTTATATTTAAACAATATAAAAAAACATCAGGATCGGTATTCCACAATGGATCGTGTAGGCTGACAATTGCTTTTAAGAAAGACTGAAATCTCTTTTAGAGGATTGTGAAACAAGTATTAATAAAAGGACAAATAATTATTTCTAAGAATTTCAATTTAATTTTTCATTTCGGGGTGGGAAACCATATGTTCTCTGATTTTTAGATTCTATCGCAGTCTTATACTATCCGCGTTTTTTCTTCTTTGCAGGCAAATGCAAATGCAATAGATTCAATTTTCCGGAGAGAAACCATACCCTGCGTTATAGTTATAGAGTGCGATTTCCTCCGGAGCCATTTATCCTACAATAAAATGTCATACCTGTTGTATTCTTTATACTGTTAGGTACGTTTGTATTAGGGGGAGGGCGCACATTGATACAGAAGATCTTAATGGAATTTCACAATATCAAAATAAAAAAAAGTCTGGTTGTGTATTTAAAATTTTCAAATTGTTGACCAGTTCCATTGAAACATATGAAGTATTAAAATTGATGATTTTTAATCTCTTTTTTTTCAGTAACTGCTCAACCAAATCTTATGAAGGACTTAAGTCTTATTCTTTTCAACTGATCAAAATGATTTCTAGAAAAAAAATCATTGTACAATTTAATCGGCTGGACAAATTTTAAAAGTTGTCATGGAAATAAAAGGAGAAAATTTATTTTAAATGTTTTTTTCTTTGTAATTTAAACTACATGTACATGCCATGGGACTAAGAATGGGTAAATTTCTATAAAAAAAAAAAATAAAATTTTGCAAAGGTTTAAGGAAGTATTTGCTCTCTGCTCTTAAATAAAGTATTACACTGCTGGGGTCGAGAGGACATACTTATGCTACGGCTTGCAAGAGCAGTGTTTCTTTTATTGTTTTATTTTTGGTTTTGGCTGTTTTCCTTTTTTTTTCCTTTCAAGAACTATTCGATTCAAATACTCACAAAATGGTATATGGAACCTATCAATATAAATTTTAGAGTGTACTTACACACTCTTTTTTTGAAAAGCATCGATCCATACATTAAATTATGGGTCTGTAAAGGGAAACAAAATATCAAATCACTAAAGGTGGACTGATACACATTTTTAATTCATGAACAGATGTTAAGACGTCGAGTCTTATGATTGTTTGAGTGACTACTTTTACAGTTTCCTATGATTTCAAGTTTGGGTTGAGACTCAATGACTTGAACAATATATTTTTAGATTTCATGCCATATTTAAACAATATCTTGAAAAAAAAAATAGCCAAAATATTGCCGATATGATTTTAGCATTGATGAGTCGATATGATTTTAGCATTGATAAAACAGGGGTAACCCTACTCTGAGAAAGAAAGAGGGGGAAATTAGGCTCTAGTATGAGATTCCCACTTCGGGGGAAGTCCTACTTTAGGGTACAGATTCAGGAGGGAAAGCTGGCTAGTGAGGAAATCCTATGGCGTTGAATTGAACTCATAAAATTAATCCTTCATTGTGAAAATACAATGTAGTAGGAAATTACAAGTTTTTCCCCGTCTCTCGTTTGTTAATTGATATAATTCACGTATTATTTTCAATCATGCACGACAATTTTATTGATAGCGGACAACCATCGATTCTAGCTTTAGGTCAACTAAACCGTGTTTGGTTATTACATTCTCTCCGCATCTTAGAGAGTTTCTCGGTCTGCTCGTACACACAGTGTCCGTGAGAGGTCCTAGAAAAAATAATTCATTGGATTTTACGCTTTGGATACCTCTTCAACGATTATAGTAAATACAAGATACTGACTAGAGGAGAATATACTGTACGTAAGTGACATATTATTATGTATTTGAACTTATTTTGCTATGGTGTTCCTTCATAATGTACAAGTATTTATTTGCAGAATTATTCTCATAAAATAAGAATTCAATTATACGAATTTTATTTCGGTCCTTACTAAATGCATTCTGATTTTTTTTTTTTTTTTTGGCAAGATCTTAATTTATAATTCCCAGTATTTTGTTAGCCTATGTTCTTTTGTGTCTAATTTCAGATATTATCCGATCAAAATAAAACAATGACAATATTAGTTTATCTCTATAAATAATAACAGACGATGCATTTGTTTTCATGCGTTGGGGATATTTTATCTTAATGCATTCAAAGAAATAGAGATTTATCAATACTTCAAAAACATACATTACAATGCATGTAATTCCAGTCTCTCAGCTTTGCTGGGGATTCTTTAATATGACACACATGAGTAAAGGATACATTTGATTTCGTTCATTATTTGGGACTGTCCAGAGAAATCAAACACTAACTAACAAGTACGTACTTCTAACTTCCCCATTGGCCATCACTGTTGTTCTAATATGGTGAAACTGATTCGGATGACGTTATCTTTTTTTTTCTCAAGAGTGTTTTCTTAATCTAGTGCAAGCACTATTTCATGTTGGCCTTTTTACAAAATCGATGTGCAATGCATTACTGTACACTCAATGTTTCTGCAATTTTGCAAATCAGCATGTTTGACGTTTATAAACGACTAGAATAAAGTTTAATTCCGACGCGTAAAACTGATGTACATAAAATTTCGTAATTTTACTCGCAAATTCAGTATACGGGTATTGGTATACAACTTTTTGTATGGTTTGGAAACGAATGCATCCATTGTATCAATAATATTGACACAGTTTAGACGACTCAATTGTGTAAAAAGGAGGAGTCGTTATTATTCTAGATTAAAAAACACATCTGCAGCATTGCTCTTTTGTTTTTATGATTCATATCCCTGTACCAGATGGCATACAGTGTACATATATCTGGTAACCTATACATTCATAATTAACGACAAGCTATTCTTCAATAGTTCGAACTTATTTTGAATAGGGTTTGAATTATACATGTCTCGTGTAACAAAAGGTGTAAAGTATTGTTTTATTAATCATTTATATCGCTCTCATCCCAAAATGTAAGTGATATTGCTTTCTTTCGCTCGAGCAAGAAAAGATGAACGTGAAACAATGTATTATCTTTCTATGTTGTATAATCCCAGGATGATGATTTCTGAAGCTTGGATAACTTAGCACGGTAGGAAACTATTCCGATACATTTAAGGCTTGCATAAATGTTTTATAATATCGATGGTTTATTCATGTATTTTTCATATCAAATATCGACAACATTTAAACCTATATTTTGATACTCAAAACGTATATGTATAGTAACGTAAACATGATATATATTGATCCAAATACATTGCTGTCAGATACTGTGAGGCAAATATGAAAATCACACATATGATGTTTATATAACGGAAAGATACATAAATATCATGCTTGGCACTTTGAAATAAATTTGGGGAATTTATTATAAGTACTTTATTACTGATGTAGAAAAAATTGATTCAAGAGAATTTGGAAAGAAACAGTTCGGAAAACTCTATGGTAAGCAAGAAATGTTAGTTAGTTTTCTTCGCATAAGATATATGTATCAGTAAAAATACAAAACATTTCTAGATTTAGCCGATAAATTAAATTTGGTTACTAGAACTGTTAACTGTTTTGCAAAAAAAAGAAGGTTGGAGTTTGTAAATTATTATTATTATTATTATTATTATTATTATTATTATTTTTACTTATTATTTAATTTTTCCTTCATGAATTAATTATAATTAGTTCTAATTGTAGTAATTTATATCAAGCAAAAAAAATTCTATCGATCTAAATTGGAAATATCCTAAAGCAATCATAAAAGCTTAGACCAAAACTTCAGATATAGAGCAATTAACCGCCTCTGATTTTTATTGAGACAAGATTGATAATTATTAGAACATTAACTATTACAATGGTCTCTGTTTTATACCTCAGTACAAACTTTTAATAACACTTTTGTTTTAAACATAGTTCTCAGAGGATGAGATGAATAATTTGTATTAATTCAATGACTCTTGGGAAGGTCTGCTCATTCATTCATTTTTTAAAATCAAAATGTATTTGTAGTAAAATGTAGCCCTGGGCATTTGTGTCGAGTAGCTTGGAATGTTGGTTGTTTCTAATACATCGATATTTATTCATTATTTAAGAAAATTGATTAATGATTTATGAATATCTTAAACTTTGTTACGTCATGGTTTATAGATTTGAATGTGACAAACATAGTCAAATTAAGCTGAAGCTTAACTTGAATCAGACTTATAAGACATGCCAGATTTCTCGTCTTCTCCAATACAATTTTCATCATTTTTTAAAAATTTCTTTTGATAGTTTATACTGTACCTTGGCCATGTTCATTGGATTAATACGGCGAACATTTTAAATACTGTGTGAAAATTGTTGGTAAATGCACAAAAGATGTGCTGTAAGATCCATGTAGCTCTGTCATGAAAGTTAAACATTGAAGTATACTTCTGGTCAGTGCTCTGAATCACAATCTACAGTGTACAAGGTTTTCATATAATTGGTGAAATCGTAAATAAAATTGGATGCTAATCTTCAGAACTGACATCGCCTTCGTTAATTGAGTAACAACTGAAGGTGGATATCTTCACACTCACTCTGTAATTTCTATCCAACAGACAACACTGATTTTCACTTCAAAGGTTTGATTTATTTTTTATCTATATTAAAGCACATGATGTTGAACTGAACGAACATTAATCTCTATTTGTGATGTGGTTTGCGGAATGTTTCTTTAAGAGGCATCTAATCCCACTAGAATCATGCCGTTGTTCTAAACGGTTGGTTTTGTCAATCAAAATCAAAATCAAGTAGAGATTTGTCTCAGACTACTTGCAAATATTGTACGGTATAAAAAACAGTCATTGATACATGTTCACACAGTTTCGTACAATGAATAACTTTATTCGTAACCCGACATTGTTTCAATTGTCAAGAGCTAGTCGTCCTGACATCATTTTTTCTTGATTTAAGTTGAATATATCCTAAAGCAATCATAAAGCTTAGACCAAAACATCAGATATTGAGCAATTAACCGCCTCTGATTTTGATTGAGGCAAGATTGATTATTATAAGAACATACACTGGCCTCTGTTTAATACCTCAGCATATTAAATGATTTTAGACTTAGTTCTCTAAGGACTAGAGATGAATAAATTGTATTAATTGAATGACTCTTGGGAAGATTTGCTCATTCATTCATATTCTAATTAAAATCTATTTATATAGTAATATGCAGCTCTAGGCAATGAAAACATCTGTGTTGAGTCGCTTGGAATGTTGGTTGTTTTTGATACTTCGATATTTAGTCGATATTTTGGAAAATTGTTTTATGAACAACCGAAACTTCGTTTGAATGTGACTAAGGTAGTTATATAAAGCTGATGCTAAACATAACTTGAATCAGACATTTTTAAATTCTTATTTTAGACCTATCCAGATTCCTCCTTTTCTCCATTATAATTTTATTTATTTTTCGAATTTTTTTTTATTTCATACTGTGCCTTGGATCTAAAGCTATGTTCATCGGATTAATACCACTAATATTTTAAAGACTATGTGAAAAATGTTGGTAAATGCACAAAAGATTTGCTGCAAGATCCATATTAAGCTCTGTTATGAAAGGTCTGAATCAAGGTAAAACATTGAAGTACTTCTGGTCAGTGCTCTGAAATCACAGTCTACAGTGTACAAGGCTTGTAGATAATTGGTGAAATCGGAAATAAATGGATACTAATCTTCAGGACTTGCATCACCTTCGTTAATTAAGTAATAACTGAAGGTGGATATTTTCACACTCACTCTTTAATTTTGTATCTAACAGACAACACTTATTTTCAATTCAAGGACTTAATTCTTTTTTCATCTGTATTTAAACACATAAGTTGAACTAAACGAATATTAACCTCTTTTTTTTAGTCGTTACGACTGATTAACCTATCTGTGATGTGGTTTGCTGATTGTTTCTTTATGGGTATCTTGTCCAACTCCGACAATGCCGTTGTTCTAAACGGGCGGTTTTGTCAATCAATCCGAATCTATAGTAAATATGTCAAGGTTGGAAGGTTGGAAGAGAAAAAAAAAACTCCATAAATTTTGTTCCATAGAAAGATGTCCCCAAATGTTTAATACCAGATCGATATTTTTTATCATATGTAGGATGCATGTTACAAAGATTAAAAACAAAACAACAAACGTTATAAATATTAATAAGAATTATTCATTCAAAGTTGTTTACCACCCCACCCCAATCCGCTGGTGCGGGGACAACAAATGGATTTTGTTTCATCCAAAAACAATTCCCTCCAAATGTTCCTCATACATGAGAAAAAATATTAACTAAATACTACACAGGCATTTTCATATTACTTACTTAATCCTTAATATATTGGTTTAAACATAAGGTACTTAACCGCGTTTCCCACTGGTCTATGCCCTGGAACAAATTCTGGATCTATTCCCACGTCTGTCATTTCTTTTTCATTTCTTTTTCTGTGGACCATATTTCTATAGACCTTTTCTTTATCTTCTCTACTTGAGCTCATCTCATTGCAATCCTACTGAATTGAGTCTTGTGCATCCTGAATCCATTGACTATTCACCTACATCTCTTCCTCTTGATCTTTAGGAAAAATGGATGGTTGTCCTCCTTTACAATTTTTTAATACAATCCTTTTGCAATAGCACAGCCTGAGTGCCGATCGGGCTAAATGACAAATGTTCTAATATTGTCATATAGAAATTTTAATTGAAAAATTCAAATTTTTTGTAGACGACAGTTATATCATAGATATTTATAAATATTAAGATAAACACAACCTTGGGTTATATCAGCAATAATGTCGTCGACGTCATTATGGCC